GCACGACACATTGAGGACTACTCTTGCTGCTCTTGGGTTTGCTCCTTCTACTGCTGACCCGTCGCTGTTTCTACGCACCGACACCACTCTGCCGCCGTTCTACGTTCTCGTGTACGTAGACGACTTGGTCTTTGCTACTTCTGACACTGAGGCACTCGCCCACGTGAAGTCGGAGCTGCAGAAGAGACACACGTGCACAGACCTGGGTGAGCTGACAAGCTATCTTGGCTTGCGGATCACCCGGGACAGAGCACAGCGCACCATTACCCTGACTCAGTCACACATGGTGCAGCAGGTCCTTCAGCGCTTCCGCTTCACGTAGTCCTCGCCACAGTCCACTCCTCTGCCTACCGGTCACTCGCTCTCAGCTCCACCTTCGGACGAGTCCGTAGAGCCGAGTGGCCCGTATCCAGAGCTTGTGGGCTGCCTCATGTACCTGATGACCTGCACTCGACCTGACCTTGCCTACCCTCTTAGCATCCTAGCACGCTATGTCGCTCCTGGCCGTCACAGGAAGGAGCACATGGATGCCGCTAAGAGGGTGTTGCGCTATTTGTGCAGTACGTCGGGCATGGGGCTCGTGCTTGGAGGACGGGCTCGAGTTGTCCTCACTGGTCACGCAGACGCTTCTTGGGCTGATGACTTGGCTACGCAGCGGTCGTCACAGGGTTACACCTTCAGCCTTGGCTCCGGCTCTGTTTCTTGGCGGTCTACCCGCTCGTCTTCTGTTCTCAGCTCCAGTTGTGAGGCTGAGATCTACGCCGGGGCCATGCCTGCACAGGAGTTACGCTGGCTCACCTACCTGCTGACCGACCTGGGAGAGCCGCCTCGTTCTCCTCCAGTGCTGTACGTCGACAACAAGGCCATGATTGCCTTGTGTCAGGAGCACAGACTGGAGCACAGAACGAAGCACATCGCTCTGCGCTACTTCCTTGCTCGAGAGTTGCAGCAGCGTGGTCAGCTTCGTCTTGCTTACGTGGCCACTCGGGCCAACACTGCTGATGTCTTCACCAAGGCGCTTCAGCCTTGTGATCATCAGCGTTTCTGTACTGTTCTAGGCCTTGTGCCTACTGTGCCTCACTTGCTTACTTCTTGACTCTGCTTGTACTGTGATCTCTATACCTATACCTGCATGCTTGCACTTGCTAGGTTGTGATCACTGTATTTGTCAAGGGGAGTCGAGAGAGTTGTGGCAAGGAGAAGTCGAGAATGGGAATGGTGCAATATGAGAAACAAGTACAAGTTATAGTTCAGGAAGGGTGCACCACCAAGCAAGAACAAATGTATGACTACACTACAGCTAGAACTACATGCAGTTATATATAATTCTGACAGTATTGCTTGTTTTCCTTTATATAACTCTGCATGTGAACCGGCCTTGTGGCCATTTGCTTGTGCTCAGATTGCGTGGTGACGTCGTGATCCACCCTGAGCTTGCTTTGCCTTTCTTGACCGGTCTTGTGACCTCTTGTTCTCCCCCACTTTGCCTATGGGGGTGTGTCAAAGTTATATGCTATAGTCTGTGTAGGCTGTAGTGGGGTAGTTCATATAGGGTACAACACTTCTAGGTTTCCTACTTGTACCCAACTGCTTGCTCAATCAATCATTCCTTCCTTCACTATTCTGACAATGAGCACTATCCAACTATCATATTTCAAACTCCGACATTCATCCTCGTTTTTCGGCATGACCTCGACGATGTTATACGAAAAGCCTACAACTTCACCAGTGAAACAGGCCGATTACAAAGTGCAAAGTTACACCCTCCTATCAGTTCTTGTGACAACATTCGCAACAACGACGACGTCGACGTCGATGTATGGAAGTCATCAGCACACACGACTTGGATCGCCTCGTTGACCTCATCTCCAATGAAACTAGACTTTGCATCCTCAGCCTTGCTGTTGCAATTCGCCACTACTCGACTCCCAAAGAACCCATGACAGTCCGCCAAGCCCGGCAAGGACCAGATAGTGAGAAGTGGAGAGCAGCCATGGACGCCGACGTAGAGACAATGCAACGACGCAGAACCTGGAAGTTGGTCTTACAATCGGCTACACGAGGAAAGAATATCCTCAGCGGCAAATGATGATTTTTTTTTTTCCGCATCAAAACCAATGCTGACAGATCCATCAATAGATACAAAGCGCGTTGGTTTGTTCGCGGCTACGAACAGACGCACGGCATCGACTATGGCCAAACATTCACACCCGTTAGCCGACACACATCAATCCGCATCCTGCTCTGCATCACCGTCGCCAAACACCTTGGCCTCCGCCAGATTGACGTCAAGAACGCCTTTCTCTACACCATTGTTGATGCTATCATATACGTGAAACAACCAAACGTATTCGAGGAAGACGCATCGAAGGTGTGCTTGCTCCTGATACCACTCTACGACATCAAACAAGCCCCGTGCCTGTGGCATCCGTACCTACACACCACCCAGATCTCACTGGGATTCTAGCAGCTTCCCCACGACCAAGGCATGCATCGCCTCGAGCACCGCGGTGACTACATTCGCCTGTCACATACATCGATGACCTCCTCTACTCCGGAACGAGTAACGAGCTCCGCAATCGCTTCGAGAAGAACATCCAGGAGAAGCTCAATGTTACCATCTCCCACTCCATCGCACAATCTCTTGGCCTCAACATCTCGCAGTCTGCCGAAATTATCCGCCGAGAAGTTCGGCATCACCACGATTAACTATCTACCCCCTTCCGCACTCCGCCACCCGAACACACTTTTGACACCACTCCAATCTCTACGACCGATCACTAACTCTACGAGCAGAAATCCGGACGTCTGCTATTTGCCGCCGTCACCTGCCATTTGGACCTCTCCTATGTCGTAAGCCAACTCGCTCAGTACCTGAGGTGACCTGAAGGGGAGAATATGGCAGGTCTACCACGGGCACTGCAGTACTTCGTCTCTATGCCTGACTTTGGCCTAACCTACACGGCGAACCTAACTGCAACCTTCCAACTTGAGGGCTACGCCAACGCAGATTACGCAAGTGATGTTGATAATAGACGCTCCCGCACTAGCTTTATCTTTTGCCTTGAACCTGCTGGATTTATCTCCTAAAGCTCACAAAAGCAGGAGCTCATCACTCTTTCATCAGTCGAAGCGGAGTTCATTGCCGCCACAACGGTTGTTTGCGAAGGACTCTATCTGCAAAAGCTTCTACGAGAAGCGAATGTAACGATGAACGGGTCCTTCATATTAATCTTCGACAACAAGAGTGCGATCAAGATCGCCAACAAACATGAATTCGCGGATTGCATGAAGTACATACCGCTTCGTTACTTCTTCATGAAGAACGAAATCGACAAGGGCAAGGTGAACCCCACCTACTGTCCAACTGGCAAAATGGGTGCTGAATTTCTGGTGAAGAAGCTGCCACGTCAGAAGTTCCACTACTATGCTGACCTGTGCGGAGTCGACAAGAAAAAACACGTACTATACCTTTAGGCAGTAGCGCACTACCTCGTCAAGAGGATGCGCAATCCCCACTATCGCGTTACACTCATATAGAGTACGCGATAACAGGGCGACGGAAAGTTTAGTCAAAAGTCAAACGCCTTTCCCTTGCCTTAGTTGTGGGTAGGAATTCGTGGAGGTGCTTGCGAGGAGCTGGCAATCGTTGGAGGCGAAATGGTTGACCGAGGCGGAGGCTTGGTGACTTCTGACTTCTTGCTGATACGATGCGGAGGCAGAATGTCATTGTCCGTGGTTGCCATTCTCCGCTCCCCTTTTCTTGTAGCATTTTTTCTTGTAGCACTTTTTCCGCTTCCCTTTTCTTGTACCATCTTCGTACAGTACTTGAAGAATAGCTTTCTTTTCTTGGTCGGTGCTTCGCCACTCGCTGCATAAAACACGATAATTGTCAAACTATATATATCTATATGTGCTAGGCTATAGTGAGGTACGATGTAGGGAGTACAACTTTGTTAGGCTTTGTATTTGTACCTCCCTCTTTCCTTAATTGATCCTTCCGCTTGCACTCTGAGATGGTATCAGAGCGAAGGTCTCGGGTTCGAATCCCCGTGTGTGCATATGCTGGCCTGCTGCTGTGCCGTGTCCTACGGCATCCCTGTGAGGGAGAGTGTCAGAAGACCTCCACGGGGGATGCCCGATTGATCATAGGGAAAGTTCACTGACCTGGAGGGTTATGGGCGCACTGAGCCGTTAATTACCGCAACAAGCCCTTTTATCTTAGTGGTTAAGTGGCTGGGATTCTGGCAATAATTTATTACTTGTTCCCTCTTTCGTTGTACAGGACGATCTCATGTTGTTCATCGAGAAGAGTCGCACATAGTGATGCTTCGGAGATGGCGCTTTGGGCTCGAAGGAGTGACTTGCACTGTCGCCACTCAGGACCGGCGAGGATGACCAATATTAGGTGGTGCACATTGTCTGTATGAGATAGCGTGCTATAGCAATACCTTCGGGAATGCTAGCATAACCTTTAGGTTATTCCAACAATGAATAAATGAGTGGATTATCCCAGGAAAGTCTAGAAAATCTGGACCGTCACCGCTCTGAAACGTTCTATAACTTAGGGCAACTTAGGGCAACTTAGGGCAACTTAGGGCAACTTAGGGCAACTTAGGGCAACTTAGGGCAACTTAGGGCAACTTAGGGCTACACTCAACCGATTTCAACCGCAATCAAAGTCCGATTCTATTGGAAATTTGGATGCTCCACGTCGTAAGTTTGAATACCCTTCTGGGGGAACACGTGCCGCAGTCTCTTAGGAAACCCTCGTTTCAGGGAGCGACTGAACTCGACTGGTGTAAACTCCTCTGCGCGACACCATCACCACACTCCTTCCCCCATGAGGCGCGACGCCTTTTGCACCACATCCCTCGTGCTCGCTCACTAGCCTTCGCCGCGCCAGCGGCTGTTGAATCGCGGTAGGCGGTTGTGCGCCGATCCGATCCCACAGGATCGTTCTTGGGCGTTGGGTGGAGAGCGGTTAGGCGGATTTCGCGATGGGTGCCGCCAGCAGCTCTGTGGACGTTGTGAGGATGAGGGACGACGCGCGACAGCAGCAGGATGAGGAGGAGAATGAGGAGAGGGGGGAGGAGGGGGAGGAGGAGGAGGAAGAGGAGGGGGAGGAGGACGGCGAGGAGGATGAGGAGGAGGATGAGGAGGAGGATGAGGGGGACGAGGAGGAAGAAGGGGAGGGCGGGGAGGAGGGGGAGGAGGAGGAGAGCGCGGGCGCGCTGTGGCGGCGGTTGTGTCGGGTGGTGCGCATGCGGTGGGGGGGCGGCGATGGGCGCAACCACTGCGACCGCCTGGCGGATGAACAGGCAAGGCTCGCCACTGGGGGCGCGGGGATGCAGTGGCAGAGGCGAGTGCGCACGGGGTGGTGGTAGCCGTCGCGTGCACTCGTCCTCCCTAGCCCCAGTCGCGCGTCCTACTAGTGGAGCGCCTTAATTGTATCCGCTTGAGTCGTTCGCGGCAGTTGGCAGATGGGTCCACTTGGAACAAAGCACGCATGCATGTCCGTCCACGTCCCTCGCTGCCCGCCGTTCCCGCTCACCCGCCTCGCCCGTGATCGTTCGTTCTGCCCTCCTCATCGCTCCCCACCCCCCGCGCGTCCCCCGTTTCCCCCTCTCTTCCCCCCCGCCCCCTGCGCGGGCCGCCAGCTGGTGGACGTGCTGTCGCGCCTCGGCGCGCTGGACCTCACGCGCGCCGCTCTCACGTGCCGCCGCTTCAAGCGCCTCTGCCACCAGGTGCGCGCGCATGTGGGCGGGCTGTGTGCGCGCGCGCGCGGCGCCACGCGTGTGTCTTAACGCGCGTGCACCGCTCGTGCCCTCGCTCTGGCTTCTCTGCTCTTGCTGCTCGCTGCTCGCCGCTCGCTGCTCGCTGCTCGCTGCTGGTCATCGTTCTTTAATCCCGGTGTGTTGTGCCCCTGAATGCTCTGCTTAGCCCCCTCTCTCTCTGAACTCTCCCCCTCTCTGCCATCTTCCCCTTCTCCCCCTCTTTCCCCCCTCCCCCATTCTCCCCCCTCTCCCCGTCTCCCCCTCTCCCCCATCATCCCCCTCCCCCCCCTGTGTGTGCGTGCAGGTGCATGTGATAGACAACGCGGGCGAGAGTGTGATAGAGGTGGCGCGGCTGCTGCGAGTGCTGCCGGGCATCCTGGGTACGGCCAGTGTGGTGCGCCTCGTCAGCCCTGACAACGAGCGCGACGCTGCTGCTGACATCATCGCCATGCGCGCACACGGCTTCCCACACTCCGCTGCTGCTGCTGGTACCCCTGGTGTTACCGCTGATGGTGCTGCTGGTGGGACTGGTGGTGCCCGTGTGCATAGCAGCAGTAGTGGTAGCAGATCTGGCAGTGACGGTGTTGCTGGCAGCGAGCGTGTGCGTGGGCGGGTAGTCTCTGGGAATCTGCGAGGCGGAGGAGCGGGTGGGGAACGCGCGGTGAGAAGTAATGGGGCGGGAGCAGCAGAGGGAGCAGGAGCAGCAGGAGCAGGAGCGGCAGGAGCAGCAGAGGGAGCAGGAACAGCAGAAGCAGCAGCAGCCCCCTCCTCCCCCTCACAGGCATGCAGGCAACCAATAGAGCAGGGAGGGGCCCAGGGAGGGGAGGGCAGAGGTGCGTACGAGTGGGGGGGCACGGAGCTATCGTGGACGAACCTGCCATGCCGGCAGGTGAAGAGCGTGGCCATGTTCCTCAGCCCGTCCCTCACCTCGCTCACACTGGGCGTCGTGCACGTGCGCCGCCACAGCCTCTCCACCATGGCCGTGTTACAAGCGCTGCCCGGGTCGTGCCCGCGCCTGCGCACCCTGCATGTGACGTGGAGCTGCCTGCATAAGGAGGAGTTGCTTGCTGGGTTTAGAGGTGCGCACGCCCGCGCGCTGCTGCTGGGGGCCACGCTTCCAGGCGGGGGAGGGGGGATTGGAGGTTTGGGGATAAGGGGGAGGGGCAGGGGATGGGGGGATGCGGGGGAGGCGGATGCGGATGGGGGGAGAGTGGGTGGATGGGGAGGGGGGTGGGTTATGAGAGGGAGAGCAGGTTTGGTGGGTGGAGAGGAGGAGGAGGAGGAGGAGGTGAGGGCGGGTCCTGCACGGTTGTGGGATGATGATGAGGATGATGGGGATGGGGAGGGGGGTGGGGATGGGGATGGGAATGGGGGTGGGGATGGGGATGGGGATGGGGATGGGGATGGGGATGGGGATGGGGATGGGGATGGGGGTGGGGATGGGGATATGGGTGGGGTGGGGGATGGGGATGGGGATGGTGCTTTTGGTGTTAATGATGGTGATGATGGTGGGGATTCTGGTTTGAGTGGTAGGGAGGGCGGGCAGGGCGATGAGAGGGAGGAAGGCGGGGTGGCGTTGGATCAGGAGAGTGGGAGGGTGGAAAGGGAGGGAGTGGGTGCGGATGAGGATGCTGATGGGGATGATGAGGCGGGGCGGGGGCGGGAAGAAGAGGAGGGTATCTCGGTCCCTTCTAGTCTGGGGTCACTTGGCGATGGGGATGGGGAGGGAGAAGCGGATGGGACGGACGGTACGATGCAGCAGCGAAGGGCGCAAGGGGAGATGGCGCATGCAGGGTTGGAGGGCGCAGCTATGGCGAGGTGCCAGGAGCAGAGAGAGCGGGTGGAGCAGGGGCGGCAGGGGGAGCAAGAGGATCAGGGGGAACAGGGGGAGCAAGGGGAGCAGGGGGGGCAGGGCGAGGGGTACACTGGTCTTGCGAATGTAGGAGCAGGGGAAGGAGGGGTGAGAAACAATCAAATAGGCGGTCTGGGAGTGGGCTGGGAGGGAGGGAGGGGGAGGGAGCAAAACGAGGGAGAAGGCGAGCTTAAGTGTGAATGTGAGAGTGGGAGGGAGGGAAGGGGGAGTGAGAGAAGAGAGAGTGGGGAGGATGGTGAGGAAGGGGTGAGTGGGGTGGGGGTGCGGCTACAGGACGTGGTGACGGCGGTGGTGCGAGGGCACCTGCATGCACACCCCAGTGCTGATCGCCCTGCCATTGCTGCAGCCGCAGCCGCTGCAGCAGCAGCAGCAGCAGCAGCGGCACAGGAGGGTGAAGGGGAGGCAGAGGGGGTGCAGGGTGGATGGTGGAGTGGAGGGGACAGTGAGGGAGTGGTGGGGGCGGACAGGGAGAACACTCAGCGTGCAGAAGAGGGTGAGCAAGGCGAGGGTTCCTTGCAGCACGGCCAGGACTCTCACCTGCTGCCCCATCCCTTGCCTGGCGGGCCTGCATCGGAACTCTCTCCTACTGCTAGTGTGCCTGTTGCTGCGCCTGTTGCTGGTGCGGGTATGGGAGGTGGTGGTGTGGGGGGGGCGTGGGAGGGATGTGAGGGACTAGAAGGTCGAAGGGGACGTGGGGAGGGTGAGAGGCCATGTGTGGTTGGGAGGGGGAGTGCACATGAGGGCGACACTGTCGTCCCTGCGTCTCTCCCTGCCGCTGCCCCTGCTGCCAACCTCGCTGCTTCCCCTGCTGTCGCTCCTGCTGCTGCAGGCCCTGTTGCCAGCCCCACTGCTGCGGACGGCCATGGTGAGATGGGAGGCGGAGCAGCAGAGGCGCAAGGAGCGGTTGATGAGAGGGGGGAGGGCGAGGGGGATGAGGCAAGGACACATGAAGGGGAGACAAGAGGGGAAGAGGACAGGGAGGCGAGCGAGGCAAGGACAGGGGAGGGGGAAAGGTTGGGCGAAGCACAGGAGGTGGAGTGGGAGGGTGGGAATGGAGCGGGGGAGGAGCAGCAGGAGCATGAGGGAGAGGAAGAAGCAGGTGATGCCATGGCAGCAGCAGCAGCCGCGGCAGCAGTCGTGGCTGCGGCTGCTGCTGCCGCCTCCGCAGAAGACGGCATAGATGCCCCAGCCGCAGCCGCAGCAGCAGCAGCAGCGGCAGCGGCAGCAGCAGGAGGTGACGTGCCTGTGCGGCTAGTGGAGCGGGGGCCCACATCAGTCCTATACGGTGCAGGCATCATGACCAGTGCTGTGGAACGTCTACTCGCGCGCTGCCCCTGCCTGCACTCGCTGCGCCTGCCAGGGCTGCTGGCTGCAGGGCTGGCAGGGGGGCATGCGCAGCTGCAGCGGCTGGATGTGACGCTGGTGTTTGAGCTGGGCACGGCGGTGCGCGTGCTGGAGCGGTGTGTGCGAGTGTTCCCCAAGCTCACGCACCTGCGCATGGCCACACAGCTCAATGCGCTGCCGGGGGATGATGGCTCCCTGCCTGACCATGGCGGGGCCACTGAGGTGCTCGCCCCTGCTGAGTACGTGCCCTGGGTGGGCAGCTGGCATGGCGTGGTGTGGTGTGGCATGGCATGTGATAGGAATGGGGCTGTACTGAGTAATGTTTGGCGTTGTTTCGTTTCTTCACTTCCCGCGTTCATGTGCTTGTAGTATTTGTGTGCATGGATGTCATAAAGACACCCCCCCTGTCTCCATTCTTCCCAACCTCCCACCCAAAACCCCACCGGCCACGCCCCACCCCTCTCTTGCCCTGGTATGGTGTGGCGTGGTATGGAAGAGGAAAGGGGCTGTGGTTTTTTATGTTCGGTGGTGATGTTCTTTTCCCCCAGTCAGTCCCATGCTTCATGTGCTCATTCTGTCTGTGTGCATGCATGGCAGATTCCCTTTCCAACGTGACCCCTCCTACCCCTTTTTCCCCACTCTTGTCCAGGTCACAGCTACAGGAGGTGGAGCTGGAGAGCTTCCGCCTGCCGCTCACCATGGCCCTCACCCTCCCCCGCGTGCGCCGCATCAAGCTCTACCGCGGGGGCGTGCACGCCTTCTCCCCCCCGCCCTCCCGCACCCTCACCCTCGCGTGCCCGCTCCTCACCGACCTCGACATCGACTTCCTCATCTCCGCGCCCTCCCTGCACGCCCTCGCTGCTTCATCCCCCCTCCTCCGCATTCTACGAGTGCGCCACCCGCCCGCCACCATCCACCTGGGCGCGGCGTGGCAGCACCTGCGGGAGCTCTTCCTGGGGGGCCTGGGGGAGAACTACGGCGCGCGGGAGATCTCCCTCGCGTGCCCGCGCCTGCACCAGGCCACAGTCGCCCTGGGGGTATCCCACACAGACAAGCTCTCCGTAGACTGCCCACTCCTGCAGGATTTCCGCGTGCTCAGCTTTGGTCTCGACGCTGTCCTCTGCCGCTTCCACTGCCCCTCACTGCGCTCGCTAGCCCTCGGGGGAATCGACCCCGGGCCTCTAGACAGCATCGGGCGAGGGTGCCCGAGCCTGCGCAGCCTGGAGGTGTGCTGCCCAAAAGCCCACCACGTGGTGCTGGGGGAGGAGTTTCCACAGCTGGAGCGAGCATCCATATCCGGGCTGGGGGTGTGCCGCACGCTGCAGGTGCACTGCGCGCGACTCACCTCCCTCACAGTCTACTGCACGTGGTCCGCGCCGTGCCTGGTAGAAGCCACAGCGCCCTGCCTCACGCAACTCAACTTCCGCGCGCGCCCAGCCGAGTGGGACCAGCCGGTGAGATTCGCCCTGCGCTGCCCACAGATAGTCAAACTAGAGCTGCCCTTTGTTGTGGCAGATCTGGCGAGCCTGGGAGGCACGTGCCCCCGCCTGGAGCAGCTGAGCGTGGACTATGTGGCGGGGGGGGTGCTGCGTGTGGGGCGCGAGTTCAAGGCCCTGCGCACGCTCAAGGTGGCGCATGCGCTGGCCAGCCTGCAGGACCGCCCGCTGCCGCCCATCTCCGTGGTCGATGTGTGCTGCCCTCGCCTCGTGACGCTCGTGTGCGGGTCCGCACCTGACAGCAGCAGCAGCAGTAACAGGCATGAGGTGCCGCTGCAACCATCCTCCCCCTCATATCCTGCCGCTGGTAGCGAATCTTTCACATCGACATTCGTTGCTGCGCAATCCACTTATGCTGCTGCTGCTGCTGCTGCTGCTGGCGGCAGCAGCACCTGGGCGCACCAGCGTGTGCCGGCACGGGAGAGGCAGGGCAGCAGGCGTGTGAGCTACTGCCGCATCGAGTGCCCCGCGCTAGACCTCCTAGATATCGGCTTCCTGCCCCTGCCTGCCCTGCACTCCATCGCTGCTGCCTGCCCCAAGCTCAGAGTCTTCCGGGCTGTGGGTCCCCTGGTTGACTGGCGTGTGCTAGGGGCGAGTGCAGCCGGGCAGGTTGACGGCAGCAGCTGCAGCAGGAGCAGCGCTGGAGGTGCGGCGGACGTGGGTAAGGAGAGGGTTGGTGGCGGCGCAGCAGGTGTGTGTGAGCCGCTGATGAGTGAGGCACTTGCTGCGACGGGGCGGCGGGGGAAGAGGCCGAGAGAGAGTCCGGGGGCACGGTCAGGGGTTGGTGAGGGGCCGCGTGGTGAGATGGTGGAGCAGAGGAGCAGGTGGGGGAAGACAGGAGTAGGGGCGCCAAAAGAAGGGGGGTTGGAGGGTGGAAGGATGGGTGACGCGGGGGATTGCAGTGGTGAGGGGAGGCAGGTGGCAGGAGGCATGGCTGGTGTGTGCAGTGGTGGGGAGGGTGGGAGAGTGGAGGACATGGGTCCAAGAGGCGAAAGCGTTGAGTTGCACGGTGCTGCACAGCACGTGGACAAGCATACGGATGGCTCATCTCCTCCCACCTCCTCCGCTTCCCAGCCAACCCGTCCTGACCTACTCTCCTCGCCCACCATTCCCCCTCATTCCCCCACCTCCCCACCCACCGCGACCCGTCCTGACCCCCACTCCTCCCAGCACCCCCCCCTGCCGCGCTGCGTGTGCGCTGCCATCCACGTGGGAGCAGCGTTTGAGCGCTTAGAGCACCTCTCCCTCACCCTCCTCGACTCTGCCTTCGGAGCACACTCAGGCCACCCCGTGCCACCGCCCTCGCCCATCGCCCCCCCTTCCTCCTGCTTCCCACCGCGCACCGGGCTAGGCCTGGGTGTTTCTGCAGGGGGGGGTGGCGGTGTGCGGTTTGCCTCGGCGGCGCTGTGGCCTGGTGTGGCTGTAGGGATGGCCCGGTCGCGCACCATCAGGCATGGGCGTGTGCCTGATGCTCCGCTGGGTAGGGCGCTTGTGCGGGAGAGCGTGGGAGAGAGGTCGTTTCGGGAGAGAGAAGACAGGGTGGTGAGTGTGGTGCGTGGGGAGAGCGGGGCTGCAGGGGAGAGGGTTGGGCGCGATGTGGGCGATGAGGGGGCGGTGGAACGTTGGTTGAGCGGAGGGGAGGGGGTTGTTGAGGAGAATGAGGAAAGGAGAAGAGTGAGCGAGGGAGGGCGGGAGGCAGGCGGGGTGGGAGAGGCGGTGCAGAGTGGTGCAGCAGGCGATGGGGTGGGTGGCGTGGGGGAGAGGGCGTCTGAGAGTGGTGGCATGGGCGGGGGCTTGCAGGTGGGATCAGGGCGTGCGAGTGGTGAGCGTGCGTGGGGTGGCCTTCTAGATTCCAGGCAGGGCGGAGCACGTGAGACGAGGGGGACAGGTGAGACGAGGGGGACAGGTGAGACGAGAGGGACAGGTGAGACGAGAGGGGCAGGTGAGGCGTTGGAAAGAAGGAGTGCAGTGGAAGGAGGTGGTGATGGGGCGGTGGCAGCGGTGGCAGAACGGCAAGCAGGCAGTGCGGCAGCAGCAGGAAGTGTGGCGTGGGTGTCGGGGCTGCGCCGCGGGCAGAGGCGGCGATTGGCATGGGTGGATGAGGGCGGGCTGACAGGGGGGAGCAGTGCTGTGAGCTCTCATGGAGAAACGGGTGGCAGGGGCGCTTCAGGGCGTGCAGAGCGCGGGGGAGCGTGGGGGCAGACGCGAGTGGATGAGGTTGGTGTGGAAAGGCTTGGGTTGGTGGATGGAGGGGAGAGGCGGGGTGAGGGAGCGGAGCGTGGCGGTGGGGATAGTGGAGGGGTGCGGGAGTGGGATGACAGGGAGAGAGTGAGGGACAGGGGGGTGTCATGGCTGGGAGTCAGGGCAGAGGAAGCAGGGCAGACAGGTGCACGGGGAACACAACAAGCAGCAGCAGCAGCAGCAGGAGCAGCAGCAGCAGCAGTGCCTGGGAGGGGCGACGTAGTAGGGGTGGGTGCAGGGCACGAGGCAGGGCGGTTGATGTGGGGGCGATCGAGTCAGCTGACGGGCATGTATGGGCGCATAGGCGAGCAATTCACCCGCGCTGTCAGGCATGTCTCTCACACTGCTGCTGCTGCTGCTGCTGCTGCTGCTGCTGCTCCCCACAATTTTGGAAGACAGATGGGAGGGGAGAGGCCGAGGGAAGGGAGGGGAGACGGAGAAGGGGAAGGGGTAGGAGCGGGGAGTAGAGGTATGGGGGAAGGGGCGGCGGTGTTGGGGGCGCGGGTAGGTGTGGATGTGGTAAGGGGGGAGGGGTTTGTGGGAACGGTGGGTGGTGGTGGTGGTGGGTGCGAGCATGGCCTGGGGAATGGTGAGTGCAGGGATGCAAGTGGGCGTGGGGGCAATGGCGAGGGCCGTGGTGGCGGCAGTGGTGGGGAAGAGCGTGAGTGTGCACGCGTGTGTGTGGACGTTCATCTGCGCTGCCCGCTGCTGAAGCATGCAGAGGTGCTGCTGTGTGTGGGGCGACTGGGGGACGTGCGAGTGCACTGCCCCTCCCTCAAGAGCTTGCTGCTCGTGCATGGTGATAGGGGCATGGGATACGGGGCAGGGGTTGGGGGGAGGGCGTGTGGGGGTGAGGGAAGGGAAGGTGAGCAGGCAAGCGGCTGCGACGGGGGTGTTGGAGGAGCGAGCAAGGCGGAGGAGGGTAGGGATGGTGGTGGGCATGGGTTGATGGACAGTACGCCTGCTGCTGCTGCTGCTGCTACTGCCTCTGCTTCTGCTTCTGCTGGTGCCACTGCTACTGCTGCTGCGTCGTGTACTGGAGGAAGAGCCGTGTGTCCATGCTGTGTGTGCACAGAGCCACACACGTTCACAGTGGAGTGCCCGCAGCTGCAGCGCTTCAAGTGGGTGCAGGCCAACAGCCACCGCCGCATCTGCACTCCCATGCTCCACGCCAACACAAGCCTCTCCCCCACCCACCTCTCCATGCTCTACGGTGCTTCCGCCTCCTCCCCTGCCCGCGCTTCCTCCTCCGCGCTCGCTCCCTTCATCCCTCCCTCATCCTCGCTTCCCACCTCCACTCAACGCGGTACCACCTCCACCTTCTCAGCAGCACCTGCAGCCTTTTGCTTGCCACCACCCCCGTCCTCCTCAGCCCACCCTCCGGCCTGCGCTCCCCCGTCGCTCACGGCATGCCTGCCGTCGTTCAGTTTCGGAGCAGCGTGTGCGGCGGTGAGAGAGGTGGACATTTCCAAGTGCTGGGGGGTGCCCACCGCAGCTGCCCCGGGAGGGGACTTCCCACGCACTGCCGGCGCAGCAGGCATCAGGGCTGGGCCGGGCAGGCTGTGGGGCAGGGGGGTAGGGAGTGGGGAGCACGGCGGGATGATGGGCGGTGGTGGTGGGGGGGATGGAACTAGGGGGAATGGGGACGGCAGAGGAGGGAGGGAGGGTGGAGGGGAGTGTGGGTCGGCTGTGGTGTTTGGGCCGGAGTGGGCGAGTCTGCAGAAGCTGCTGCTGTGGGAGGTGGCTGCCACATCTATCACCGTTGCCTGCCCAAGGTCACTGCTGCACTGCTCCTGTCTCACGTGCACACCACAATCCCTGCCACTCCTTACGCCACCATCCCCTTCACCACCACACTTTTCTTGCTCCCGTGCTCATCCCCTTCCCTTCTTACCATGCCATGTCGCGACTTAAACTTCATGCTTTTCTTCCCTCCCCGTCATAATAGATATCGTTACACCTACTCCCGTCTCCTTCCTCCCTCCCTCCAGGTTACAAAAGCTGACTCTATGTGTACCTCCATCGTCCGCTCACACATCTGCTGCCACAAGCATCACCATCAACTGCCCCACCCTCTCCTCTCTCTATCTCGACCTGGGCAACGGCCCTTCCTCCTCCACCTCACATTCTCCACCCCCGTCAACCACCGCTCCTGCCGCCGCTACCTCTGCCACAGCAGCTCCATCCCGCGTGCCCTCGCATGACCACCCACCCCGCAGGTCACTGCTGCTGCCTCCGCTGCCCCGCATTGCAGCAGCCCCTCTGCTCACACGTGCTGTCATTGTGGCTGCGCTGCCAGACTGGGCGCTGCTCTCCGCGCTCTCACCACTACTGGGCCCAGCGCTGGAGCACATGTATGTCGTCTCGCATGTGTTGAAGGACCCTGCAGGGCTGGAGAGGGAGCTGGGTCTGAGGGCCGTGGGGTCGCACCATCACATCTTTGCATCCCATGTCCTCACACGGGCATTCAACGAGTTTGCTGATCTCTTTGACCGCCGCGCCTTCCACACGCTGTGATGAAGCGATTTATGGGCTCAGCGAATGTCAGCATGCTTTCAATTTTAATGCTTTTCTGTTTTCGCCAACAAGCAAGTGTATCCACCCTTCACTAGCTCTGTAGGTATATTCGTTCGTTGTGACACTTCCCCAGTGTTGAGGTACTACAAATATTGACGTTACGGTACATTACGTTTCCATGATTTGACACGGTAGAAATGTTTTTCTATTGGTTCGGTAGTTTGTTGTAGAAGTATTAATTTACCGTATGTTTGATTACATCATAATTGTCAGAGCAGTACAAAAAGGAACCCTAGCAATATGCTGTACTCCCTACAATGCTACGCACAGTAGCCTAACAAGAGATTATTACATTTGACACACCCCCATAGGCTAAGTGAGGGGCATCAAAACAAGCAAGGGAAACAACGGTCACAAGACCAGTCAAGAACAAGCAACCAAAACAAGGCTCAGGGTGGCGCTCAGAATCACCACACAGTCCGAGCACAAACAAGAGGCCATAAGGCCAATTCAAGAGTTCACAAGTATATATAAAAGCAAAACAAGCAGAGCAAACAACAAGGCTATAGCAACCGAACACCAGCGTCAACAAGACCTAACTGCAGACATAACCAGTGGTGGTAACTAGGCGCTAGGGCCTTGGTGAAAATGTCTGCTATGTTGAGGCCAAAACAAGCAGAGCAAATAACAAGGCTACAACAACCGAACACCAGCGTCAACAAGGCCTAAGAGCGTATTCTTACGGCCTCCTATCAAGGCCACCTCGTATCAAGAATGTAGTTTGACCATGTTTACGTTATAAAACACCTTTTATCAAGATTGTACCGTTTGAGCGCACCAATAGAAATGCTCGCATACCCTCGCGTGAAAGTGTTGATTTCCCGGCACGGTTCCATCTGACGAGCAGACGTCAGCCCAATGTATGCGGTCGACACGAATTCGTGCGATGCTGCACGAGGTGGCAGTCGTGCGCTGCGCGCGAACGTGCAGAGTGTGCAAACATTTCGTCCCGCTTTCACCAACAGGCGCCACGCGGCACGTATGCCACCCCCCGCACGTCAACCGCTTCACGTGCCTTGTCATCCCAACACACATGACCCGTTTCACCCAACACTTCGGAGTGCTCTCTATACATAGCTCGATGTCTTCATCTTCCATGCTCAAGCTCTGTTACTGCCAAAAGCATGGCCCGTTAGCGTAAAGTTGCACCTAGCAAAGCAGACGAGGAATCATGGCGTTCGGAGGATCTGGCGTATGTGGCGTGGATGAACGCGGAACTCGCAAGTGGTAGACCGACGGCAAAACCCCTGCGTAATGTGGGACAGACGCCCGCCAAGTCTACCATCACACCACGCGTCAAGCCCGGGCCGAGCAATGTCGGTTTGCATGCCGACTATGATTCTGACGAGGACGACACGGACAAGGACACTGCAGACGACGACGACGACGACGCCGATTCAGAAGGCGACGACCCAATTGCGGCGTGGTGCGGCAAAGCAGAATATAATTGCCCGCAAGATGAACGCTCCGAGGCGCAGGTCGATACTGCGGAGAAACGAGGCTCTGGCAGCCGCGACAAGTCTCGAGGGAAGGGCAAGGACCGTCACCAGGCTGATGCGAAGGTTGACGACTGTTTGGGGAAAGGCCCAAACTCGGAATGGTCTCCCAAAGAGTCCACCATACTGGTGGCCGCGCGTTGGTTCACCAAAGAGGAGCTTAACCAAATGACGGGTAAACAGGGGTCGCAGTATTGGTTACGGCTCATCGAACACATCAAGAAGCAGCATCCCGATTGGTGCAGGAATGCCACCGCCTGCACCAATCAGTGGAAGCGTCTTAAGGCGCTATGGAAGCAGATTGCAAGGGGGGATTCCGCGTCTGGTGGCGAAACGGTTATAAAACCGCCGTGGTGGGAGTGGATGGAACTATTTTATGCGGACACTGCTGCGGCCGAGCCACACGCACTGGATGGTGGAGGTGCGGATAACGTGACCGTGGATCCTGGCGTCAAGATTCCCAAGCCGTCTAATACCGCTGCCACGACAACGACAGGTATTTTTATAGTCTGCTTGCCGTATTTGATGTTGGGATGCAAATACGCGCGTGCTATGGTTATTTATTATCATCTCGCTAATCAGATATTACATGTTTAACAAATTGGCTAATACATCTCACATCCCGTATCCTTCCCGCTCTTGCCCGAAGTCCGTAACACCCCGCCCAGTGCTCGTCGCTGTATTAATGAGACGGCGACCATGGCCGCCGCTCAACTCTTGGCCGACACATTTGAGCAGTGCTCTCAGGACGGCGTATCGCAAATCACCGGAGTGATACGCGAGTGGATGGCGTCTCAACAGTCGCAAACAAGCCGTCCACTCAACTTCGCTAGCAACCATGCAGAGGACTCAGGGCCGGCCGGCGATAATACCGACGCCGGTGCGGGCGTCACTGACGACGTGGAGGTGTGGCATCGCCGCTCCGACGTCGCTTAAGGTACTCCTCATGCGGCGCCTCCCCGAGCCGTTTCCTCCTCTCTTTCAGATCTGTCCTTATTACAGCTAGATCGGCACACCAATTATATTGTGCTAGTTCTCCTCTCGTCCACCAGGGGTCTTGGTTAATCAACCGCGCGGCCCAATTGTGATTGATTGTTCTCATCCTCGAAGTCGCCATCTTGATGCCCATGTTGTGCAGTATGACAACACAGCTGGCGCCGGCAAGGACTCGCCATAACGCGCACTCGTGACGTCCTGCGAAAAGGCGGTAACGGCCTTTCAGTTGGCCAGTGGTTCGCTCCACCGGCATACGAGTGGCAGACTGGCAGTAGTTGAAGGTTTGCTCCCACTCAAGCATGAGGCGGCCGGTAGGAGCATGCAATGGAGTAAGGCAGTAGCTACGGAGTGGGTAGGCGGCGTCGCCTACCAGCTGGTACGGTGCGAGGTCGCCTCTTTGTAGTCGCTCGTAGAGGCTAGACAGGACGAACACCCGCTGGTCATGCGTTGTGCCGGGAAAGCCTATTAGATAGTCCCATATGGTTCCTCTTGCGTCGCTTGTCACTTGTAGCTGCACGGCATATTGCGATTTCCGTGTGTAATATACCGCCCTATGCCCCTCCATTCCGCAAATTTGAACGTGTGTACCGTCAATAGCACCCACAACCATGGGCACCCCTTTAATGCTCCGAAACTCTTCCGCCATGTCGCGCATTTCTTCTCGTGTCGCGAAGCGGACCCAGGCCGCTTTGAACACGGTGGGAAAGTTTAAAAGGAAGAGGTCGACGAGGTGATGACATAGGGTCTTTGGCAACCCGAACCAGAACACCAGGTCCACGTACGCCATCGTGGTAGCAAAGTATTTAAATTGGTATGAGCACGGCTACGGTAATCGGAACGCGATGGCGATGGATGACGGGATTGAGAACGTGAGCCATGCCCTCGCATATGTATTCCAGAATTGAGCGATTAATGCAGAATAGGTCGATGAACGTCTCTTCGGGCATGCTCGCCAGTTCGTCCTCCCATACGCCTAATCGTCGCCGCCGTAAGCTACGGTTTCGTGTTCGTAATTCACTTCGAGTCTCTGCAATGGTATCTTCTTCTTCTGCCGTGCTTATCTCCTCCAGGAACTTGATGCACAAGTTGAGTGCACTTTTTAAGAAAGTGTCGTAGTAAAACGCGTGCCATACAAACTAACCTAGGTAGGAAACGCACGTCTGACATTGTCGACGAAGGAACTAATGCTGCAACATTCCCAATAGTTGCGGCCATTTCTACTATTTGCAATTTTTACTGAGTGGGCATTGGCGTGGATGGGTCGATGTGTGGGCACTGGTGATGACTCGTCCACTCCGTGCTTTCTGTGCTTACGTGGTGCATATTTGATGTTCATCGGGGCGCCTGATCAAGCTGGGTCGCAGCACGCCACATCAGCGTGTGTTTTGAGTCGCACATGTGGGTAAACCGGCAAGTTTTCCTGATATGAGGTTTAGCGAGGTTGCCGATTTACAGGCGATAAATCAAACGCGATACAAGGTGGCCTTGATAGGAGGCCGTAGGAATACGCTCTAACTGCAGACAGAACCGCTGAGGCCACGACAGGGCCTCCAGCGACAGGCCCCCCAGCTCCAGCAGCGCCGCTCCGAAGGCTCCAGCGTCGAGCAAACCACTCGCGCAGCTGCGGTGGAGAGAGAGGCTCCCGCCGTGACGAGGCACCTGTAGGACCTCCAGCAGACTCAGCACCCCCGGGCTCAGCACCCCCAGTCTCAGCAACCACAGGCTCAGCACCCCCAGGCTCAGCACCCCCAGGCTCAGCACCCACAGACTCAACAACCTCAGGCTCAGCACCCCCAGGCTCCGCACGCTCCGGCTCAGCACCCCCAGGCTCCGCACGCTCAGGCTCAGCACCCCCAGGCTCCGCACGCTCCGGCTCAGCACCCCCAGCAGCACCACCCCCAGCAGCAGCACCAGAGTCGACCGCGACCTCGACAGGCTCGCCATGGTCTACCTGAGACACACCTGAGGGACCCTGAGGGGGGAGGGGGTCTACCGGAGGAGGACCTGGTGCGAGGAAGAGCGGCGGGGGGGGGGAGAGGGGCAGTGCGGTAGGGGAAGAGATGGTAAAAGGGAACCGACTCGTCGAACGTGACGTCCTGAGAGGGCAGGACACGGCGCGAGGTGGGGTGGTAAAACTGCCAGCCAGGCGCGTCAGGGGGAAAACCAAGGAAGACGCAGGGAATGGCGCGGGCGGAGAGCTTGTCTGCGGACGTATCGCGGACAAAGGCACGAGAACCCCAGACCCGGAACACCGACGCATCGCCAACCTTCCCCGTCCAATGCAGTGTAGGCGAGGTCTCCGGCAAGGAGACACGGGGCCAGAGGTTGAGCTGATGCGCAGCGTACCGGACCGCAAACGGCCACAGAAAATGGGGGGCAGCCGCATGGATCATGGAGGTACGAGCGACCTCCATGACTAAGCCAATGCGGCGCTCAGCAACCCCATTCTGCTGCGGAGAGGCCGGAAGCGTGAACGACTGGAGAATGCCCTCCCCACGACAAAAGTCCCGCAAGAGGTCGGAGGAAAACTCACCACCTCTGTCAGAGTGCAGACGCAGGACTGGAAGGTCCGTGTGGAACCGCTCGCGGAGCTGGAGACGGACAGCGCGCGAAAACATCAGGGACCTCCCCCTTGCTGCGCAAGGGGAAGACCGTGGTGTAACGCGAGTAGTCGTCAACGATCAGCAGAAAGTAGCGCTCGCGGCCCTGTCCACGGACGCGGGCTGGGCCCCACACGTCCATGTGGAGAGTCTGCAGGGGAGCAGTCGTCGGGGGAAACGAGGAGGAGTGAGGAGCGGCGGGCTGCCACCCCTCGACACAGGGAAGGCAGGGAGGGGCAGGCGAGGGTGGGAGGGGAGGCAGAGTCCTGGGAAGACCAGAGACAAAGAGACGAGAGTGCATGCCACGGAGGCGCTGCACTGTGGGGTGACCAAGACGGTGGTGCCAAAGGAGGGTCTGGTGCGACAGAGCGCGACACGAGCAGGGGGCCGCTAGCTGACCTGACGCAGACGCAGACGCAGCTACCTGAGGAGACACAGTAGTCAGTGTGTACAGACTCGAGCCAGGCGCACGGGTGAACGTGGCCAGGTGTCGGCCAGTCCGGGAGCACGTACAGATCGCCACACGTTGTCCTCCTGGAGTAAAGGTGTCAACCCATACATCCTGAAGGACGGCGTTGCTCACCAAGTTCGTAGAGAACGAGGGGAGGTGAAGACCTGACAGTGAGCCAGACGGAACCGCCGGACACGGGAGAACAGTGGAGGAACGTGCAAGGACTGGGCCCCCAGAGGGGTCAGCCAGAGAGACAGCAACAGGTGCAGGGAGCGGTGTGAATGCGGTACTGTCGCGAAAGAAACAACTGGAAGCACCTGAGTCAAGCGTGAAGGTGTGCAAGGCCTCACCAGTCGCAGTACCAGAGAGAGCAGACTCACTAGCACCTAGGGAAGCAGCCTCACCAGCACCTAGAGCAGGAGTCTCTATACCTGGGTCAGGCGGCATACACAGGTAACAGTCACCCTCAGCACTAACAGTCAAAGCATACATGGCAGCAAGGATAGCATCATAATCAAGAGCAAAGATATCCACCCCCTGCCTAAGCAGCTCTGCCCAGCGGGGGAGCTCAGCCGCGTCTAGAAACCCTGCGCGAAAGGCGTCGTCAAGACGGGAGAAGCAGCGGTGCTGGGTGTGAAACTTCCCGCATGTCTGACCAGAGCGGTCACCTGTGCGAATGACATACGAGCAACGACCACTACCCCCAGACGCCCCACGCTGAGCAAACCACTCACGAAGCTCCTGGGGCGAAGGGGTCTCACGCTGACGCTGCTGCTGGTGCCTCTGACCACCGCCAAAGCCTCCCCTCTGACTGGTACCACCCCGGCCGCCACCACTGCCGCATCCCCCACTCCCACCGCCGCCACCACTGCCGCCGCCACCACTCCCACTGCCGCCACCACCGCCGCCACCTACGCCTCCACCCCCACCACCACTCCCTCCACCACCACCACCTCCACCACCTCCACTGCCCCCACCACCGCCTCCACCGCTGCCACCCCCACCGCCCCTGCCTCCCCTGCCCCTGCCGCTGCGGCGCCTCCCACTAGGGGCAGACGCAGCTCCTACCTCCTCAGCACGAAGGTAGTCAACAGCTGCAGCAGAGGCGACGGAGGGGACCAGGGGGGAGGGCGAACACCCCTCAAAGAAGGGAGTGCGAGGAGTGCCACGAGAAGCGCCTACAGCGACTATGCTAGTCTCAGCTGCTAGGAGGTGCTTCTCGAGCAGGTCGACAGGCGCGAAACGGCGGGCAGCGCGCGGGCCGGGCAGGGCGCACTGCGGCGGGCGGCGCGCGGGCAGGGCTGGGTGCGCGGGCTAGGCGGTGCGGCGGCGGACGGCGCGCGGGCAAGCAGGGCGCGCTGTGGCGGGCGGCGCGCGGGCAGGGCAGGGCGCGCTGCGGCGGGCGGCGCGCGGGCAGAGCAGGGCACGCGGGCTAGGCGGCGCGGCGGTGGACGGCGCGCGGGCAAGCAGGGCGCGCGGCGGCGGGAGGCGCGTGGGCAAGGCAGAGCGCGCTGCGGCGGGCGGCGCGCGGGCAGAGCAGGGCACGCGGCGGCGGGTGGCGCGCGGGCAGGGCAGGGCGCGCGGCGGAAGGCGGTGCGCGGGCAGAGCAGGGCGCGCGGCGGCGGGCGGCGCGCGGGCAGGGCAAGGCGCGCGGAGTCGAGCAGCGCGCGGGCAAGGCAAGGCGCGCGGCGGCGAGCGGCGCGCGGGCTGGGCAGGGCAGGGCGTGCGCAGGCAGCGCGACGCAGGGCAGGGCAGGGCAGTGCGGCGCTATCACGGCGGCGCGGCGCTATCACGGGGTAGCGCAACTCGGTGGGCCCTAAAAATACGGTCCTAGGCTAGGACCTGCTCTGAAACCATGTCAGAAGTACGAACGAGAATCAATGAACTAGCAGCAAGATGGGTACAAGTAGGAAACCCTAATTGGGTTGTATCCCATATGGGCTACCCCACTGTAGCCTACACAATAAGCAGCATATAAGTTTGACAACGAAGTCCAAGCGAGCCTGTGTGACCATGTGGAGACCAGTAAGGACACCAGAGGGGACCACAGGGCACGGGAGGGTGGTAAAGCTGCGTGCAATTGCTGGTCGTGAAGTAGGATCAGCCAGGGCTACTGGAACAGGAGCAAGGAGTGGTGTGAGAGTCGTGTGGTCGCGGAAGAAGCACTGTGACGCGCCAGAGTCCAGTGTGAAGGACAGCGACGCGTCAGCCGCAGGTGCACCTGGGCTGGTAGCTACACAAGCACCTAGTGCAGCAACACAAGCACCTAGACTAGAAAGACAAAAGTATACACTAGCAACAGGCAAGGATCCTAGTCTAGGAACACGCGAGCAAACAGATCCATCAGCACAATAGTCAACATCAGCATACAAAGCATACTGACGAGCCTCATCCATAGACAAATAAAACACAGGAATCTTACGGGCTAGCAGCTGTGCCCAGCACGGGGTGCGTCCCGCGTGACCGTGACGCTGACGGTAGAGGTCGTCGATGCGACAGAAGCAACGCGCTGCAGAGTGGTCACCGCGCCCCCAGACACCAGGACTACCCGGTCTCGTGAGGATCTAGTAGTTGCAGGGGCCAGAGTCGTGCCCAGGGGGGCGGGGGGCCCAGCTGGCAGTGCTGCCGCTGGGGCCAGTGCTCCCTGGTCCTCCATGTCCCCAGTGCAGCGGGGGGCCCCAGTGCTGCTGCGAACCCCACTGCTGCGGGGGTCCCCACTGCGGAACCTGCTGCGGCACCTGCCGCTGCTGCTGTCCCTGCTGCTGCTGCTGTCCCTGCTGTGGCTGCTGCTGCTGCGACTGCTGCTGCTGCCCTCCCTCACCACCGCTAGGGGCAACACCTCCAGCCGGTGGGCCCGGCGGTCCAGTACCTCCTCCAGTGCCTCCTCCTCCTCCGCCACCGCCACCATTGCCACTCCCAGCTCCACCTCCGCCACCTCCACTGCCGCCACCACCCTTCCCCCCTTTCTTGCCTCCCTTGCCTCGTTTCTGCCCACCAGTGGCAGAAACAACTGTAGTCTCCTCAGAGACAGACACCGCAGCAGTGGCACGAGTAGCAGTGAAAGTGGGAAGCTGGGGTACAGCACACCCCTCAAAGAGACGGGGGGCCTACTGCGTCAGTGGCAGAGGCAACAGAGAGGAGGTTCCTTTCGATCTTCGAGAGAGCGCTCTCAAGAAGAACGATTGTAAGCTCACTTGGGTGCTTCTGAAGAAGAGCGTAACAGGCAGGGGAGAGGCGGTCAGGGAGGCGAGTGACTAGCCAGTGAATGGTAAGCCACATAGGAGGGGGGGCAAGCTCAAGCTGGGCGTTGGTACAGTCTGCACGGAAGCTAGTGTCGAGGGAACGCAGGTGGGTGGCAAGGTCGGAGACAGTCGCAAACGACCCAAGGTTAGGAAACATGAACGACATGAGGAGGCGGCTGAGGGAGGCAGAGGAAGGGGTGGAATAACGAGCAACGATAGCATCATAACACCCCTTCGCCGTCTCGACCTGGGAGAAGTGAGCAGCCTCACTCGGGGGGAGAAGGTCTGTGAGCGCCAGGGCAGCCGCAGCGTCTCGAGAGTTCCAGACGTCACGTGCCAGGAACATGTGGTCGTAGTCCGCTTGTTCCGATGCAGTGGGAGCGGGCTCAGTAGGCAGAGCGTCAGGGCGCTGAGGGGCCCGGAGTGCGCCAAACGCGTGGGCGTACAAGGTGGCACCATCCTGGCGCTGGCTAGTAAGGTGGCGCTGAGCCTGGCGGAGCCACGTACTAAAGTCAATATGACGGCCCTCCGCATCGAAACGTAGGCGACGGGAGGACTCCATAGTAACAGCTAGGAGCGGCTGGAGCTAGGAGCTGTTGGAGCAAGGAGCGGCCAATCTAGGAGCGACTGGAGCTAGGAGCGGCCGGGCTAGGAGCGACTGGAGCTAGGAGTGGCCAGGCTAGGAACGACCGGAGCTAGGAGTGGCCAGGCTAGGAGCGGCCGGAGCTAGGAGTGCCGAGCTACAGACGAGCGGAGCTAGGAGTGAGTGGAGTTAGGAGCGCCAGGTTTGAAAACCGTCGGTCGGAAACCTAGTATAGGAGGAGACTAAACCTAATCCGAGTAAACGGAAGGAAGATCGGATGCCAACCGCCGTGGAAGATGCCAATAGCAGTAAGCTCGCCGTTGAGCTCGAGACACAGCAGTGGCGGAGGGGGGAGAGCTCGCTGCTGGGTGGGGTGCGCGCGTGGTGGCCGGGCTTAGCGCGCGTTGCAACTAAGGGGTAGTGCACGGGGCAGCGCAGGGTAGTGCGCGGGGCAGGTGCGCACGGTGCTCTGCTGGAGTGGCGCGCGCTGCTCTGCTGGGGCGCGCGGTGCTCTAGTGGAGAGGCGCGCTGCTCTGCTAGGTGGCACGCGCTGCTCTGCTAGGGCACGCACTGCTCTGCTGGGTGGCGCGCGCTGCTCTGCCGGGGCGCGCGCTGCTCTGCTGTGTGGCACGCGCTGCGCTGCTGGGGCGCGCGCTGCTCTGCAGGGTGGTGCGCGCTGCTCTGCAAGGTCGCGCGCTGCTCTGCAGGGTCGCGCGCTGCTCTGCAGGGGCGCGCGCTGCTCTGTGGGGTGGCGCGCGCTGCTCTGCTGGGGCGCGCGCTGCTCTGCAGGGTGGCACGCGCTCCTTTGCTGGGTGGCGCGCGCTACTTAGGGTAGGCTACTACGGAGTGACGGAGCGACTACGGGGCAACGGAGCGGTACTAGGCTAGGCTAGGCAACGGAGCACGGGCGGGCTAGGCTAGGCTAGGAGCGTACCTACTCATGATACCATCTTAGAAGTTGAACAGCGGAATGGTTGCATTAGGGTTGGGAAGCAGTACAAATAGGAACCCTAGCAATATGCAGTACTCCCTACAATGCTACTCACTGTAGCCTAACAAGAGATTACAACATTTGACATGAGCTATTGAAACTCACATGACATCTAGTGCTTGCACCAACGGTGTACACCATCTTAGAACAATGGCCGGCACGATGCGGTGCCACCTCAAAGTCCCTTGTACAGACCCCGTGAGGTGGCCCCGGTAAGAGTCCAAGACCAAGAGTGTCTTGGACCTCTTTATTGCTAAGGGCGGTCGCACAAATGGGAGAGGCACATGCAACACCGAGTCTTGCACAAGGATGGCATCCATCTACCCGTATTCTTGGATTCGTTAGGATCATCTGACAATGGTGCAAGGACTTTGAGTGTTTGAAGACCGTGGAAAGTAGTCACAAATGCTTGATCAGTGCAGGTCAATGCTCAAAGTACCCTTAGCTGGAGGAGGTAATGTACATATGGTTCTTCCTGAAACACAGCCAAGGACTGCATGTGTCAGTGTCTCTTTGCAGGGTTCGATTCGCTATTTCATAAATGTGCACGAGTCGTATGAAAGTCGTTGGGGTTTCCGCTTTCATGACCGTTCGGGCCTCACCATTCGCGTCAAGACAAAGATGGGCTAGAAGTTGGCTATGGTTGAGCCACATTGTAATACAGTATGTGAACTTGTTGAAATTTCGTTACTTCAACTATTTTATTCGATGCTAGCGTTATCTCTCAATACTGTAATTGACAAACTACAACGAGAGGGTGAAATCCTTCTAGCAGTTCACACCCTTGATGATGGTGAAGTGGAAGATTCCGCATAATAAGGAGGAAACACAAAACAAACACCCTTCTTCATTGTGAGAGTATGACGGCTCTGCCTACTCGGATTTACCTTATTATGCTTTATCTTGCTTAGCCTTATATTATCATGCATGCTTTTGCTCGTTTTCCTTAGAATCGTTGCTTTTTTTTACTCGACTGGCGGCAAAGGCAGCCCTGACAGTCATGGGAGAAGCAGCCCGAGGCTATTTCCTTTTACTGTAATATGGTGTTGCAGTTACAAGAGGAGCAGAAGCAATCATTCACACAGCTCGAGCCTACACCGATGCGCGACCAAACCGATCTCTCAAATGCGTTCAACAGCATTTCACGACAGGCGATCATCGCGGCGCTATAGGACCCCGCGCTCTCGCCTCTACTGCCCCTAGTTAAGTGAACATACGGTCACCCTTCACAGCTGCACCTTGGCGTGTGTTTTGATAGTGCCCCGCTGAGAAGCGAACGAGGAGTTCGTCAAGGGGACCCCCTGGGACCGCTACTTTTCGCCGCCGGAATTCACCCAGCACTGCGCGCGACAGCTGACGCGCATCCCGAGGTGCTCTGTCTAGCATATGCCGACGACGTCACCTTTCGTGGCGACAGCGATGCAACTGTAGCGGCTTTCTCTCATTTCACCGAACAGTTAGCACCCTTAGGCCTACAACACAACCCTGGGAAATGTGCAGCCTGGAGCCAAGGCCGCAGCGACATCAGGGGGTCCCTGCCGCCAGGGGTACCATTCTGCAACGATGGTGTTCGACTCCTTGGCTGTTATCTAGGAACCCCCGATGGAGCCGCCACATTTCTAGCGGAGCAACTCAGAGGGATGGCAAAGCCACTACCTCTCCTAGAACGTACGGACCCACAGGTCGCATCGCTGTTACTCACCCGCTGCATCTCACGACGCGTGGCCTACCTGACGCGGACGACCCCGCTCAACCTTCTGACTCATGATACGTGGTCACAGCGGGGTAGAAACCTCCTGACCACATTGTCAGCGTCATGCGGCATCCGTGTCCCTACATGTAATGTAGAGCAGTCGCGCGTTTGGGAGCAGGCATCACCCCCGCCATCGCTTGACGGGATCGGTCTCACAGACCCCGCAGTAGAGGGCATCTTCGGCTTCCTGGCTAGTTTCACTCAGGCGGCTCTCTTACTCTCCTTGCCGCAAGCGCCAGATGATATCCTCTCCACCGCCAAGAACCACATGCTGCTGCCCCGCGACGCCAGCTCCCCCCTCCACGCATGGCTGACGGAGTGCGAGGTAGCTGTAACATTTCCTATTTCTTAGGGTTTGCTATATCTTGTTGTACCTTGACATGGTATAGAGCTAAGCGATCCGATGGGCCCACCGCCCCGTGACCCGACCTAGCCCGTAGCGCCATAAGGCCCGAAGCGCCCCGGTAGCCCCGTAGCCCGTGCTGTTAGAAAGTAAGAACGAGAATGAATGAAACTAGCAGAAAGTGGGTACAAGTAGGAAACCCTAAGTTTGTTGTACCCCCTAAGGCTAAACCCACTATAGCCTACACAATGTAAATATATAATGTTTGACACACCCCCATAGGCTAAGTGGGGGAGAACAAGGGGTCACAAGACCAGTCAAAGCAAGGCAAAGCAAAACAAGCTCAGGGTGGATCTCAAGGATACCACACAAATTCCGAGCACAAGCAAGTGGTCACAAGACCAGTTCACATGCAGTTTGATAATATAACAAGAGGTACAGTGATCACAACCTAGAAAGTGTAAGCATCCAGGTATATATATAGAGATCACAGTACAAACAGAGTCAAGAAGTGAGCAAGTGAGGGAGAGTAGGCACAAGGCCTAGAACAGTACAGAAACGCTGATGGTCACAAGGCTGAAGCGCCTTGGTGAACACATCAGCAGTGTTGGCCCGAGTGGCCACGTAGGTAAGACGAAGCTGACCACGCTGCTGCAGCTCTCGAGCAAGGAAGTAGCGCAGAGCGATGTGCTTCGTTCTGTGCTCCAGTCTGTGCTCCTGACACAAGGCAAGGGCGGCCTTGTTGTCGACGTACAGCACTGGAGGAGAACGAGGCCGCTCTCCCAGGTCGGTCAGCAGGTAGGTGAGCCAGCGTAGCTCCTGTGCAGCCATGGCTGTGGCGTAGATCTCAGCCTCGCAACTGGAGCTGAGAACAGAGGAAGAGCGTGTAGAACGCCAAGAAACTGAGCCAGAGCCAAGGCTGAAGGTGTAACCCTGAGACGACCGCTGAGTAGCCTGGTCGTCAGCCCAAGAAGCGTCTGAGTGTCCAGTGAGGACAACGTCGCGCCGTCCTCCAAGCACAAGCCCCATGCCCGACGTACTGCACAAGTAGCGCAACACCCTCTTAGCGGCATCCATGTGCTCCTTCCGGTGACGGCCAGGGGCGACATAGCGTGCTAGGATGCTAAGAGGGTATGCAAGGTCAGGTCGAGTGCAGGTCATCAGGTATATGAGGCAGCCCACAAGCTCTGGATACGGGCCACTCGGCTCTACGGACTCATCCGAAGGCAGAGCTGAGAGCGAGTGACCGGTAGGCAGAGGAGTGGGCTGAGGCGAGGAGTACGTGAAGCGGAAGCGCTGAAGGACCTGCTGCACCAGGTGTGACTGAGTCAAGGTGATGGTGCGCTGTGCTCTGTCCCGGGTGATCCGCAAGCCAAGATAGCTTGTCAGCTCACCCAGGTCTGTGCACGCGTGTCTCTTCTGCAGCTCTGACTTCACGTGGGCGAGTGCCTCAGTGTCAGCAGTAGCAAAGACCAAGTCGTCTACGTACACGAGAACGTAGAACGGCGGCAGAGTGGTGTCGGTGCGTAGAAACAGCGACGGGTCAGCAGTGGAAGGAGCAAACCCAAGAGCAGCAAGAGTAGTCCTCAGTGTGTCGTGCCACTCACGGGGTGCCTGGCGAAGACTGTAGACTGGCCGCCGGAGGCTCCACTGGGTACCAGGAGGGAACGACCCAGTGAAGCCAGGTGGGCGGCGCAGCCAGATCTCCTCGTGCAGGCTGCCCTATAGGAACGCAGTGCTGAAGTCAAGAGAGTGGAGCTCGTAGTCACGCTGAGCGGCGACGTGCAGCAGAACCCGAAGAGTGGTCATCTTCGGGGTCGGGGAGAAGGTCTGGAAGAAGTCAACTCCCTCTCGCTGACTGAAGCCTCGTGCAACGTAACGCGCCTTGAAGACAGGCGGAGAACCCGGCGGCCGCTTCACCCTGAAAATCCACATGCCACTGACGATGTTCGCCCCAGGTGGGGGAACCTCGTCGACGTAGGTGCCTGTGGACTTCCAGGAAGCCATCTCTGCGTCCATGGCTGTCTGCCACTGAGAGGAGTAGAGACCCTCCATCGCCTCTGCGTAAGAGCGTGGGGTCGGGATGTCTGGTGCATCCGGGTCTCCCTCAGGGGCGATCAGCATGGACACGAGATGAGGTAAAGCAGCGGCAAAGCACTCAAACTCCTCCTGTCTGTCCTCAAGGACGTCCGTGCCAAGAGCACACTCACCCCCGACTGACGGAGGACAGACAGACTCAGACTCAGCAACAAGGCTAGCGGCGTAGTCTAGACGACAGGCGGCAGCAAAGTCAACAAGCTCAGCGACTAGAGCAGACGCGGCAGAGGACTCAAAGGTAGGGTCAGTGACAACAGTGGCAAGGAGACGCGCGACAGTAGGACTGGCAGCACGAGTAAGGTCTGACGGCGGGTCAGCAACGTCAGGAAGAGAGGACGCAGGAGGAGACGGCAGAGGGACGCGCTGTGGAGCAGTGGAAGGACGCAGGGTCATATAGTGAGTGCCAAGGACAGGAGGAGGACGCTGACGCGGAGCACGACGACCAGCGCGGACAGCGCGGACAGGCGACTCTGGACGCGACTCAGGCGACTCTGGACTAGACTCAGGCGACGGAGGACGAGACTCAGGCTCACGACGCTCAGTAAGACTACCCGTCGGCGCAGTGTAAGGAGAAGGACCAGGCAGCGGAGAGGCAGGCTGTAACTGTGACTGTGACTGGACAGGCGGTGGACTAGTAGGGGGCGGG